CTGTACCCCACAAAACCGTAATAAAAAATACTGATTAATGAAAAAACAAAAACAAAAAAAACATGGAACCAACCATATTGCCCATTGAAGCTGGACTGGATTTTAAAAATGTGGTATATATACACAATGAAATATTATGCAGCCATAAAGAAGGAGAAACATATGGACTTTGCAGCAACTTGGATGGATTTAGAGTTGATCATACTCAGTGATCTATCACAGAAAAAAGAACAGAGTACCATATGTCCTCACTCATAAGCAGACTTTGAACAATTATAATACTACAAGAAAGTGATTTGGCAGTAGTGGGAAACTGTCAGGGGAGGGGGTTGGAATTGGCATTTGAGGGAAATTGCTATGGGATGGAGGGGCATACCTCATCAGCAAGGGTACCTGCATAATCAGCGTTTGTATACCTAACCCTGAATTGTACCCCACATCTTTATAATAAAAATAAATAAATAAAGTATAAAAAATATATGAAGACTAAGAAAGGAGAGGTAACTGAAGGAGACAAGTTTAAAACTAGCAGAGGGCCGGGCTCGGTGGCTCAGCCTGTAACCCACGCTTTGGGAGGCCGAGGTGAGTGAATTTCCTGAGCCCGCGGGTTCAAGACCCACCTGGGCAACTTGGCAAGACCTTGTGTCTACAATAAATCAAAAATTAGCCAGGCGTGGTAGCGCGCGCCTGTAGTTCCAGATACTTGAAAGACTGAGGCAGAAGGATCACCGGAGCCCAGCAGGTCGAGGCTGCGCTGGCCGGGAGCGGCCACTGCACTCCACTCCAGTCTGGGAGACTGAGTGAGACTCCAACTCAAAAAAAACTAAAAAATAAAAAATAAAACCAGCAGAGGTTGGCCCATGAGGTTTAAGGAAAGAAGCTGTTTCCATGACATGAAGTGCAAAATGGAGTAGTCATTGCTGATGCAGAAGCTGCAGCAGGTTCGCTCCCCAAAGCAAGTGAGGATGGTTGGACACTCGCGGCCGCGTCTGCCCTCCCCAGGAAATGTCCTTTGCTTCACAGATGTAAATTCACTTTAAGTTTGTTACTCAGCAGTGAAAATGAGTCATACAGAGGTTAAATTAAAAGTATCTTTGGGAAATAAATTACTAAATACTGTTTGTTTGGTACCTAACAAGAGTTTAATCTATGGAATAATTCTTGCACATGGATTATGAGGAGATAGGAATCTTTCTTATTCAATGTCACTGGCATCCCATCTTTCATCTCATGGGTGTTTTTTCCCTAAGATTTACCTGTAAAGGCCTTAATGTTGTACATAGAATTAAGGCATATAAATCAGTTTTGAATTATCTAAAGACTTCAGAAGAATACAAACTCGTGGGTGTTTTGCTTGGAGGTCGTTCAGTGAGTTCAAAAGCAACTGCTTCTGGAATGTGTCATATTGAGCCAGATGATGCTGATGATTATGTTCAAGGTCTCATTTGTATTTCTTACCTACTGTACCATCCAAAGCAGCAGCATAACCTCAGAGATGAAGATCTCTTCTGTATAAAAGTTTCTGAACTGTTTGTGTCAGGTTCAGCAGATGAAACGTGTGAAAAGGACTTGTTGGAGAAAGTGGCACAGAAAATGCAAGCTCTCAATAAAATCCATTGGATTGAGAAGGCAAATAATTCCATGGCAGTGAAAGGATGTTTGACAAATGATGTTTTCAAAGAAATAAATACACAGATTTTGTACCAAATGGAATTAATTGATACCTACAGAACACTCCATCCAACAACCACAGAATATACATTCTACTCATCACTACATGGAATGTACTTTAAGATTGACCACATCCTCAGTCATAAATCAAGCATAAACAAATTTCATAAGATTGAAATCCTGCCATGCACCTTCTCAGACAAAAGTGGAATAAAAATAAATCTCAATATCAGCAAGGTTCCGCCAAAACCCACAAAGACATAGGCACTAAATAGCATGATGCTTAGCAACTCCTGGGTCAACATGGAAATCAAAACAGATTAAAAGATACCTGGAAACAAATGAAAATGAAGAAACATCTTACCAAAACCTCTAGGATGCCATGAAATCACTACTAAGAGGGCAATTCATATCTTCATAACCACACATGAAGAAAATGGAAAGATCACAAGTTAACAGTCCAACAAATCACCCAAGGAAACTGGAAAAGCAAGACCACCAAAACCCTAACTTCAGCAGAAGAATCCAGATCACCAAAATAAAAGTCCAAATTCAGGACATAGAAGACAAAAAGATAATACAAAAAATCAACAAAACAAAAAGCTGGTTCTTGAAAAGATAAACAAGATTGATGGTCCCCTAGCTAGACTGACCAAGAAAAAGAGAGAAAATGTCCAAATAATCACAATCAGAAATGCAAAAGATGAAGTCACAACTGACCTGAAGAAATACAAAAGATTATCAAAGACTACTAAGTACACTTGTATGGAAACAAACTTGAAAACCTAGAGGAAATGGAGGACTTTCTGACATCACACAATCTCCCAAAGTTAAAACAAGAAGAAATCAAGACCCTAACAACAACCCAGGAAACTGACTATGTCATAAGAGAAGTATGCATACAAAAAAAACCCTGGACCAGATGGCTTTCCAGCAGAATTCTACAAATCATACAAGGAGAAACTAATACCAATCCTATTGAAAGTATTCCAGGCGATTGAGAAAGATGAAACTCTCCCCAAATCATTTTATGAGGCTAACATCACATTGATACACAAACCAGGTAAAAATCCAACAAAGAAAGAGAACTACAGGCCAATATCCTTTATGAACATAGATGCTAAAATTCTAAACAATAACCTAGCAAACTGGATTCAACAATACATCTCAAAAATCATCCACCACAACCACGTAGGCTTCATCCCTGATATGCAGGACTGGTTCAACATTCGTAAGACCATGAATGTAATTAAATACATCAACAGATGCAAAAACAAAAACCACAGGATTATATCATTAGATGTGGAGAAAGCTTTTGATAAAATCCAGCACCCCTTCTTGATAAAAATCCTCAAACAACTAGGTATAGATGAAACATACCTCAAAACAGTAAGAGCCATCTACAAGAAATCCACAGCCACCATACTGCTAAACAGACAGAAATTGGAACCATTTCCCCTGAAAACTGAAACAAGACAAGGACACCCATTCTCACCCCTCCCTTTCAACATAGTTTTGGAAGTCCCAGCTATAGCAATCAGACAAGAAGAGATCAGGGGTATCCAAATAGGAAAAGAGGAAGTCAAGTTATACCTCTTTGCAAACAACATGATGCTATACCTCAAAAACCCAAGAGAATCTGTCAAAAACCTCCTTGTACTGACAAAGGACTTTGGCAAAGTCTCAAGGTACAAAATAAATAAGCAAAAGACGGTCACATTTCTATACACCAATAATTAACAAACAGAAACCCATATAAAAGGCACAATCTCATTCACAAAAGCCACAAAAAAATGAAATACCTTGGCATCTTCCTAACCAGAGATATGAAAGACCTTTACAGTGAAAACTACAGAACACTGCTCAAAGAAATCAAAGATGACACAAACAAATAGAAAACTATTCCATGCTCATGGATTGGAAGAATCAACATTGTTAAGATGTCCATCCTACCCGAGACAATCTACAGATTTAATGCAATACCCATTAAATTACCAGCAGCATTCTTCTCAGACCTGGAAACAACAATATAGAAATTCATATGGAAACATAAACAACCTCGAATAACCAAAACAATTCTCAGCAACAACAACAAAAAGCGGGGGGAGGTATCACACTCCCAGACTTTAAACTTTATAAAGCTACAATAATCAAAACAGCCTGGTATTGGTACAAGAACAGGCATATAGACCAATGGAACAGAATAGAAACTCCAGAAGCAAAACCTCAAATTCTCAACCAACTCATCTTTAACAAAGCCTCCACCACTAACACTGGGGAGAGGACAACCTATTCAGTAAACGGTGTTGGGAAAACTGGCTAACCACATGCAGAAGATTAAAACAAAACCCCTACCTATCCCCATACACAAAAATCAACTCTAAATAAATCAAAGACCTAAACATAAAACCTCAAACTGTAAGAACCTTAGAAAATGCAGAAGAAACCCTTATGGAAATTGGAACTGGCAACAAATTCCTGGTCAAGACCCTAAGTGCTCATGTCATAAGAGATAAGATAGATAAGTGGGACCTCATCAAACTAACAAGCTTCTGCAAAGTCAAAGAAACCATCAAGAGAGCAGAGAGACAACCCACAGACTAGGAAAAAATATTTGCCAACTGTATGTCTGACAAAGGTCTAACACCTAGGATCTACAAGGAACTCAAATGTGCTGAAAAGGGAAAAAAATGCCAGATTACAAAGTGGGCAAAATATATGAATAGACACTTCTCAAAAGAAGACATACAAACAATATTGGGGATTGTAATATTGTAAAACAAAATTGGGGATTATAATAAGGGTAATCATGAGTGGTGGGATGGAATGGGGGAAAAAAAGCAAGGCTCACTGTTGTCAAATAAGTTTATTTGTCAAGGGTTTGCTCCTGTTTAGCCCTTGATAAGAATAGACTGGTATTTCTAAAAGTAGCCACAGTACTACTCTGAGGACTCTCAAACATCTCTCAACTCACACAGTTGGTGGGCTCATGGGAAGTCAGGGTTTTAGTTGTCTTCAATTACTTCCTGTAAGAGAAAAATGTTAGATGCCTAGGAGATAGGGAACTCTGAGAAACAAGCATTCATCCCAATAGTGCCCACACCCACCAAACAATGAGACAAAAATACTTTAATGTAACAACAGAAGTTGTCCAATTCTGAGTAGACAGGGTATTTGTCCATTGAACAGAGAAAAGCAGAGTCTTTGGACCTGGTTGGGCCTAATGGCTCATGGAAATGTCTGACTATGAAAGTTAGAGATTCAGACAAAATTTACAAAAAATAGCAAACTGCTGTGTAATACAAAGAGGACAGAATGAGTATTAATCATATAATGAAAGAAGCAATAGGGTCTGAGCTGGTGTTTTGGTATTTGCCAAGGAATTTCTTTTCAGGTTGAAGGAACATTGTCTTCTGCTATCTTTATGCCTGGAATTCAAGGTAACTCAGGTTTCTGTTAGATATAACCTCAACTAGCCTCTGAGAAGGGAATGAGAATCAGTGAAGATACATATACAAGCACACATATCCCAACTCACATCATTTTTCCAGCAGATGTTTCCACAATAGGTCCAGCAGCATGTGTATTCTGGGTTTTCACATCTAAGAAGTTTAGAACACTTCAGGGTACAGTTTCTGACATTTGGCTGACCCCAACACTCTGAAAGTAACACTTCATCCGCTGAAATTGAAATAAGATGGTAAGAGGCCGACAGAACCACTCTGCCAAGCATAGGAAGAGAAACCCTTTACAAGTTTAACAGCTCCTCCTGAGATTTGAGCCCCAAGTACCCACCAAGGTATCTTTCTGTCTTATAAGAAATGAGTCTTCTCAAATTCTAGTCATTAGAATTTCACTGACTCCATTGCATCTTCACTGACCTCTTTGCGTTAGCTTCTGTGGGTTTTACCCATGTTGCAAGCCTCCTGGCCCTCTTCTCAGCATCCCAGAGATAGGACTCAGTGTGCCCACAACATTCATGTGTTTCTCTTATAAAATATGCATTTATATAACAGGAGCTCTCAGATCTTCTAGTCTTTTTTTTTTTAACTGCCCCACAGCAACTGCACCACTATACTCACCCACCAACAATGCACAAGGGTTCCAATTTCTCTACATACTTATCAACACTTATTATTTTCTCTTTTAAAAGAAATCTTCTAGTCTTATTACAATGCCTATTTCATAATATGGGATGCCAAGCAAGGGAGACTAGAACAGAGTCTCTCCCTTTCTCTTTTCTTACTTGTAATAACTCAGTCTCTCTTCAAATTATCTACCTCACACAATTTTCTGAGTCTCTCCATTGGTTCTACTTCATATGATCCCCAACTTTGTCTCACTAAGGACTCATCTCATACCTCTTTTTTATCTTTTCATATTCTGAAAGGGCCTGCCATTGAAACTAAGGGGATATATTAAGAAATACCTATTTGGTACTCAAAGTAAACATAGCCTGGGCACAGAACTTCTGTAAGTATAAGAAAATAATATAGCTCTATATTGGCATCCCACCCTCAAAAAATAGCCTAATGTCAATATAAAATATTATATCATTATAGTTTATGGAATATATGTATATATAAGTCAACATATACTTATTGCTATTTTCAAGGTTAGAAGAGGCAGTACTGAAGGATCTTAGCTTGGGGATTTCTTGGATTCCAGTGCATACAAAACTGTCTGATTCTCCAATGGGTGATCCGAGGAGATGGGTCCTGAGTCAGATATATCCCATATAAACCCCCTCACTTGTCCAAGAGCACGCCCATTCCCCTCCTTTGGTTCTCAACCAGCCTCACCACCTACGTCTATATTTTTTCCGCATTCCTCCCCACACGGATAATAGCACCATACAGATGATTGTCATGAGTAGAGGTAGCCAGAGCTTCATGATGCTGACCGTGTGTCTGAATATATGTTGTCAGAGAGATGGTTTTCCTTCCCAGTTGCTGCTAAAGAAAGAGAGATATAGAGAATGAGATATGTGAAGAAAGAGGAATTGTTTACAGAATGCCTTCAGACTTTATCTTTAGTCAATCCCCCTTGCCCTCTGCTCACCCAACAACAGACACACACCTAAGCTGAGTGCTGGTTTTGCCAAAAGGAATCTCTCTATCTCACAATCATGCTTCCCTTTGGCTAAAAAAAAAAGTTTAATGTGTTGCCTTTCCTTGATTAAAAGAGAACTCAAACTCAGCTTGCAAAATTCTTAAAATATAAGAAAAAAGCACAAAGAAAAAAGTTACCAGTTTCTAGTAATTCCACTGTATTGACGTATGGTATTCTGTTTTCCCCTTTGGCCAACTTAGTCTAATATCATAAGTCTTTCACAAGTACATAGATATAAATAAGAACTATTTTTATAAAACAAAAATCATATCAAGTTTGCTGTTATACAACTTAAAAAACACTTTATTAAGATACAATTGACAAGCCAAAAGTTGTATATATTTAATGTATACAACATAATGAGTTTTGAGATAAGTATTCATTTGTATAACCATCACCAATACCTAGGCCATAAACATATTCATCACCTCAAGAAGTTTCCATTGGCCCTCTTTATTTATCATTTTGTATGTGTATGATAAGAAACAACATTAAGATCCTTTAGCAAAATTTTAAGTTTGTGATACAGTATTGCTAACTATAGGTACTATGCTCTACAACAGATCTCTAAGGCATATTTATCTTGTGTAACTGAAACCTGGTACCCTTTGATAATACCATCCCATTTTCCCCTCTCTGCAGCCCCTGGCAACCACCATTCTATTCTCTACATCTATGAGTTTGAGTATTTTAGATTCCACATTAAATGAATTCACACAAGATTTTTCTTTCTGTATCTGGCTTATTTCACTAAGCATGGTGTCCTTCAGGTTCATGCATATTGTAGCAAATGGCAATATTTCCTTCTTTTTGAAGGCCAAATAATATTCCATCATATGTATGTGCCACATTTTCTTTATTAATTCATCCATCAATGAAAATTTAGGTTGTTTGCAAGTCTTAACTGCTGTGAATAATGCTGCAATAAATATGAAGGTGTAGATATTTCTTCAAGATCCAAATTTCGGTTTCTTTGAATATACACCAAGAAGTGAAATTACTGGATCCATAAGATCTATTTTCAATTTTTATATAGTTCTGTTTTTAATTTTTTTTAAAACCTCCATACTGTATTCTATAGTGGCTATACCAATTTATATACCTATTACAGGTATATAAGGTATACAAGAATTCCTTTTTATCCACATACTTGCCAGCATTTTTAATATTTTGACTGTTTGATAATAGCTATCCTGACAGGTGAAGTGACATCTCTTTAGTTTTGATTTACATTTCTCTGATGATTAATGAAGTTGAGCATCTTTTCAATATGTTGGTTGTCCATTTAGATGTCTTCTTTGGCGAAATGTCTCTTCAGATCCTTTGCCCATTTTTAATTAGATTATTGGTTTTATACTATTTATGTGTGAGAATTCCTGATATATTTTGGATATTAACTCATTATCAGACAATGGTTTGAAGACATTTTCTCCCATTTACAAGTTACTTTTTAATTTTATTGGTTGTGTCCTTTGCTGTGCAGAGCTTTTTAGTGCAATGTAATCTCACTTGTCTATGTTTGCTCTTATTACTTGAGTTTTAAATGTCAATTTTCAAGATATCATTGCCAAGGTCAATGTCAGGAGGCTTTTCCCTATATCTTGTTCTAGTAGCTTTATAATTTCCAGCCTTACATTTAAGTCTTTAATTCACTGAGTTTTATTTTTGTGGTAAGGTACAAGATAGGGGTTCAGTTTTATTCTTTTGCACATGAATATCCAATTTTCCAGCATCACTTATTGAAGGTACTATTCTTTCTCCACTGTGCATTCTTGGCAAAGATCAGTTGAATGAATATATAAACACACACACACACACACACACACACACATTTCCAATGGACTGCTTTAATCTATTCTTTTCCCACTATGCAAAGATCAGTAGGATGGATATATATGCCAGTACTATACTGCTTTGATTACTATAGTTTTGTAATATATTTCCAATTCAGAACATGTGATGCCTCCAGCTTTGTTCTTATTATAAGCTCAAAATTATTTTGGCTATTCAGGGTCTTTCCTGGTTCTATATGAATTTTAAGATTGTCTCCTATTTCTTTAAGAAATGACATCCAAGGAACTTCTAGCAAGATGTTGACAAGACAGGTTGGACTGTGAGAATGTCCATAAAAGTGAGTGTCCATAGACTCTTGCTTTTCCCTGGTGACTGCTGCTGCTGTTGTCAGCCTGCTCCTCAGTCCCCTTCACTGCTCAGCAACCACCACCACTGCTGCCACTGCAGCTGCCCCGCCCAGGGCGGCCCTTGGCTCCCAGCCCATGGAGCTCCAGGCTCCCTCACCAGCAGTACCACCCTGCCCCACTGTACCATGCCGACCTGCAGCGCCCTGACCTGCAGCATCCAGCTGTCTCTCACTCCACCTCCCCCAGTTCAGCCCCTAGCCACCACAAGACCAGAGATCAGCTGGAGTCCTGAGACTAGGCAGAGACCTGCACTGCCTTGCCCAGCTGCGTCCAACTGTGCCCAGCTCTGCCCAGTCTCCAACTTGGGATCTAAGGTAATCTCATCAAACTGGGAAAGACAGAAGCCCCTCCCCCATGCTAGAGTGGACACAGACAGACCAGATCTGAGTGGCAGACTTGACAGGCAGCAAGCTGACTGAATCCAGATCTGATCCACCCTCCTTCTGCAGCAGGCCTGGGGCATCTGACCCTAGCTGTGAGCAGCCCAACCAGCCTGTGATGAGAGCTAGAAATCAGAGCTGAAAGGACATTGGACTTGCAAGAACGATCACAGAGCTAACCTGGTTTCTTGGTTTTATTTTTATTTTTTATTTTTCTTCTCTGTTTTACTCATTTTTTTCCTCTTTTCTCTCTCTTCCTACCATTATTGATAACGTTTTCATATTTGCTCTGTTTCTGTTATTTTACTGATATTTTTTCTTTAGAATTACTATTTGTGTAGGAGATAGTACATCATTAGGAAGGTTGGTTGGCTTGTGTGTTTGTAAGATTGTCTCTATGTTTTAGTCTTTTTTTTTTACTCTTTTCTGTCTTTGTGTTTCATTTCATTTGTTAGTCAGTACATTTGTCTGTTTCCCCTCTTCGTTTTCTCTCTCTCCACCTTCCTTTCCCCCATCCTTTTTCCATTCTTTTCCTTTTTCTTACCTCATTTTGCTTTCAAGAAGCAAACATATACCCCCACCACATGGACAGATTGCAAGGTATTGGGAAGTGGGTTGCAGGATACTCAAACACCTGTGGGTGGATACTGGGATCTGCAGACGGATTTTGAATCACAGCTTCCTCCTTAATTAAATCTCAAAACTGAAAAAAGTACAGTCCCCCAACTCACAGTCCAGCCTCAGAATTGAACAAAGCTAGAGGATTAACATAAGGAAGAATGGAGATTGAACAAACAGAAGTAAAAGCAACCCTGCCATCCTGAACAATAGAATTAAAGAAGTGGGGGGAAGAAGAAGAAAAAGGAAAAAGTGGGGAGGAAAATCTACACAAATGAAGAAAAACCAAAAGAAGAATATAAGCCTCATGTAGACTCCTGGGAGGTCAGATACTGAGAAAACAGACTTCAGAACGCAAACAAAGAAGAACCCCTAGAATGACTGGTCACATACTACAAACCCAGACATCAAGACATTAATAGAATAAAAAGAATTGAGGAGAGACAAGGAAGGAAGGAATAGTAAGGAAGGAATATGAAGGAGTTGATAACTGAGATAATAGTAGTAAAGAATACTGTCATTGAAATAAGTAACAAACCAATAAGCATGGAAAGCAGAATTAGCCAAGCAGAAGAATCTCAGAGTTTGAGGTCAAAATATGGAACTAACCCAAACTGTCAAAAACATAGAAAAGAAGCTTTAAAAGACAGAACAAAACCTTCAAGAGATGAGCAATTATTTCAAGAGACCGAACCTAAGAGTAATTGGATTTCCTGAGACAGAGGCCACCATGGAGCAAATATTCCATGAAATTATTCAAGAAAACTTCCCTCATCTCATCAGTGATATGAAAATTCAAACACAAGAGATTCAGAGAACCCCTGTAAGATAACAAATGAGAAGATCAAGTCTCAGACACATAACAATTCACCTAAACAAAATAGATATAAAAGAAAAAAATCCTAAGGACAGCAAGAGATAAAGGTCAGACTATCTATCAGGGAAGACCAATTAGAATAGCAGCAGAGGGATGGGAACATGATGGTGATGACATGGGTGGACTTGTGAGATTCTCCAAACATGAGTCCCCAAAAAGACTCTTACTTTTCTTCCCCCATCCCCCAGCCCACCTCCAGCCATGCTGGTCCGAGGCCCAGGAATCTTTGGTCCCACACAGGGCCGAATATTGTGGCCCCCTACTGCTGCTGTTCCACCGCATGTGTGGCAGTCTCAGGTCCCAGCTCCCTCCCTGGCTACATCGTCTCCTACCCGGCACCCAGCACCAAGCCACCGGTCACTCAGGGAGGCTCCGGGCACCCGCCCCTCAAAGACACCAGTCCCATTCCTGGCTGATGTGCCGTGTGGGGGTGCCCAGGGCCACTCTCACCACTCACCACCTGCCCTTTGGAGCTTTGGCGCTCTGGAGCTCTGGGTCCACCCTGGCTGAGGCACTCAGCATGTGACCCCAAGCTGGGGGACCCAGACAAATGGAGAGAAAGGGATCTGCAAAAACTGCCTTGGCCATTCTCCAGGCAGAGACTTCCATTGCCCCACCCACCTAACAACAAACCCTACCTCAGTTCCTAAGGTAAGGTTGCAAAACTGGAGACAAAGCCCCACCCCTACACTGAATCAGACAAAAACAATGCCCAGGCAGCCAACTAAAAACAAAAAACAAAAAACAAACCCAAACTGCGAGTAAATCAGGCTGCCTGCAATGAAAAACAAAGGGAAGAGGCCCAGAGATCAGAGCTGAAGTGACATTAGTCTGATCACTTATTTTGACTTATTTTGAAAAACCAAAAGAAGAGTATGGGTCTCTCCCAGACCCCTGGGGGGGCAAACACTAAGAAAACTGACATTGAAATGCAAACAATGAAGAGCCCCCAGAATGAAGGGTCTCAAACTACAAACCTAGATATCAAGACATTAATGGAGAAATTTAAAAGAATTGAAGAGACACAAGAAGAAACTAGGAAGGAGCTGATATCTGAGATAACAGTAATAAAGAATACTGTGAATGAAATAAATAACAAACTGATAAGCAAGGAAAGCAGAATTCCCAAGCAGAAGAAAGAATCTCAGAGCTTGAGGACCAAAATATAGAACTAACCAAAACTCTTAAAAACACAGAAAATAAGCTAAAAAAGACAGAACAAAAGCTTCAGGAGATGAGCAATTACTTCAAGAGACCAAACCTAAGAGTAATTGGCATTCCTGAGGCAGAAAGAGACACAGAGGCCAACTGGAACAAACTTTCCATGAGATAATTCAAGAAAACTTCCCTTATCTAATCAATGATGTAAAAATTCAAACACAAGAGATTCAGAGAACCCCTGCAAGACAACAAATGAGAACACCAACTCCTAGACACATAATAATTCACCTAAACAAAGTAGGCATAAAAGAAAAAATCCTAAAGGCAGTGAGAGAAAAAGGCCAGATCACCTACCATAGAAGACAATCAGAATAGCAGCAGATATCTACAGAAACACTGCAGGCTAGGAGAGCTTAGAGCTTTATCTTCAAAGTCCTAAAAGATAAACAATTTCAACCAAGAATAACTTACCTGGCCAAGCTAAGCTTCAACAGCGAGGGAGAATTAAAATCTTTCCCAGATATCCAATCCCTAAGAACTTATGCTGCCACTGAACCATCTCTACAAGAAACACTTAAGAAAGTACTAAACACAGAAGAAAAGGAAAAAAGAACAATGTTCCTCACAAGAGTACAGGGAAAAGAATAAAATATACATCAACCAACCCCAAAACCAAAAGAAAGACCAAAAAAAAACCAAGTGGAAGAACAACAACTCTATAAGAACTCTATGATAGGGATGAACTCTCACATTTCAATAATTAGCATGAATGTGAATGGACTAAACACAACACTGAAAGGACATAGAATGGTAAAATGGATAAAATATCACCAGGCAACAATATACTGCCTTCAAGAGA